TCAAAAATAGTCCAAGGATAAAAACCGCAATAAAAAAAAATGCAAAGTGCAAGCTTTAAAAGTATGTGAATCGTTACACAAGAGGAAGGTTGTTTTTTTATTTTTTATTTTTTATTTTTACAAATGGTAGAATTTGTTAGATTAGCTAATGACGGGGTTCGACCTTACGTCACCATACAAGGGTTCAACACCTTTTCACCACTATGGTAAATAACAACTTTACCAAAGAGAAGATTGTTTAGTTGGATCAATAGCTAGTCAATGGCACTCTATAAACAAAATCTTCAAGATTAAGTCTAATGATTAAGTGTGAAAATGATCCTAAATCTAAGTATCTCTATATTTTTGTTCAAAAAAAATTATCTCTATATTTCATGGCCAAAGTTATAATCTATATTTTTCATTGGATTAGAGTACACGTAAAGCATTGAAGATTCAACTTTATTTTTTGGTGGGTGATGCTTCCTATATTATCATGTTTTGAGATTTTGCTTTTGAAGAATTGTGTTTACGTTTTTTTTTTCTTGTAAGTTCACAATGATTATCTTCAAATTGACTCACAAGTGGTGAATTACCCTGATGGTTCGGCCTTCCTCGTCCATTCATTTTCGCCTCCAAATCCTTCCCTTAGCATAAATTAGTGTAGAATATTGTTTGTAATAAATAAACTGAAAATATGACCTTAACCCCTCAAATTCAAATTTTTCCATATAAAATCCGACATAATATTTTTACTTAAAAAAAAACCAGTGATTAGGATCCACCTAAGTGAATTCATTAATTTCATATTACTGTACACATTTTACATATTTTAGATGCCTAAAATACCCCTATTGCATATATGATGTGCACAATTAATTCTATGCAGATTGTAAGGAGAGAGTTAATGATTTTGCAAAAAGAAAAATAAGACATTAATGTTAAAAAATTCATTGCATATTAATATCAAATATGATAATTGTTGGCTTAATTCTATGTATTTGGCATTATGAGTTCATATATATATATATATATATATATATGTATATATATATATATATATATTTCTTTTTTTACAAAAAAAAAAAAAAAAAAAACTAATATATGTACACATAAAAAAAAGTAATTTACCTACCATGTACAAAAATGTTATTTGATTCAACATGTGTATAAATATATATATATATATATATATATGTGTGTGTGTGTGTGTGTGTGTTAATTTACCTACCATGCACAAAAATTTTATTTGATTCAACATGTGTGTGTGTGTGTATATATATATATGTGTGTGTGTGTTTATATAATTAGACCATATTAATTTACCTACCTACTATTTGAACATTTCCAATTATGCAAAATATTGTATACCAACAACAAAATATAAACTTAGGAATTGGATCATGCTTTTGATTTTATCTTTTACCTACAAAAAATCATATACATATTACTTTATATATTTTTACCAAAAAACATGACACACCCCGACCTAAGGAGGGCATGCTGGCCATCACGTGAGACTCATCATGGGATTGCTCGTGAGTTCCCAAAAACAAAACCATAAGGGAATGGTAAGCCCAAAGCGGACAATATTGTGCTACGGTGGTGGAGCGGGCCCAGGAAGTGATCCGCCCCGGGCCGGGATGTGACATTTGGTATCAGAGCCTAACCATAGCCATGGTGTGCCGACGAGGACGTCGGGCCCCTAAGGGGGGGTGGATTGTGACATCCCACATCGCCTAGGGGAGTGATCCTTATATGTATATTCTCATCTCTACCTAGAGGCCTTTTGGGAGCTCACTGGCTTCGAGTTCCATCGGAACTCTGAAGTTAAGCGAGTAGCGCGTGAGAGCATTCCCAGGATGGGTGACTCATTGAGAAGTTCTTGTGTAAGTTCCCAAAAACAAAACTGTGAAGGCGTGGTTGGAGCCCAAAGCGGACAATATCGTGCTACGGTGGAGTCAGGCCCGGGAAGTGATCTTGCCAAGGCCGGGATGTGACTTTCTCAGAAACAAAACCGTGAGGGCGTGGTTGGGGCCCAAAGCGGACAATATCGTGCTACGGTGGTGGAGTGGGCCCGGGAAGTGGTCCCCCCCTGGGCCGGTATGTGACAAAACATCCCTGATAATATATGTATTAATACATAAAAAATAATTTACCTACCATGTATACAAAAATATTATTTGATTCAAAATATATAATCTAGGTTTTCTCAAAAAAAAAAAAAAAAAAAGGACTTTTTTGTATGTATATATTTTTTATATAATTGGAACAAATTAATTTACCTACCTACAAATTAATTTCCATAATTTACATACAAAAAATTATACCCCGTGTGTAATCTAATATCTCTTTTTTCACTAATACATGGAGAATAATTTACCCATTACAAGAAGAAATATAATTTGATGTATTATATTGAAAAATATTATGTCATACCTATATTTATACAACAATAAAGCGTGCCAATATATTTAACAATACATGAAAAATAATTTACCTACAAGTTAGAGAAGTGTTATTTGATTCAAAACATATAATATGGATTTAGTATAATTTTTTTTAATAATTGGAACAAATTAATTTACTTCCCAATTAATGCAAAAAAAAAAAAAATATATATATATATATATATATATATATCACAAAAAGGGTAAATTTTTGGTATGATATGGATACAATTAATGCAATACAACAGTTCATATATTTTATTTCACTTTTTCTACAACTTTTAATTTGGAATAAATTTAGGGATTTGGAAAAGTAGCATAGGTGTAAATAAATTATATTAGTAGGTCAATAGTGTTCTGAGTTGTAGATTTTAAATTTGGGCTTTTATTGGATGTTTATATGTAAATGAGTTTTTATTTAGGAATCATGAATTGTAAGAGCCAAAATCTAAAGCATCCTACAATAAAAATAAAAAACTTCTAATTGACCCCTTTTTAAGACGTGATAGATATTATGCCACTCATTTTTATTTTGTTCGTACATAAACTGCAACGTGATCGCTCGGCCTCCAACTAAGTTCAAATAATAAAAACGAAATGAAAATGATGTTTTATATGACTATCTTAAAGTACGCTTTATTGTGTGAAAATGTGCCTCCAAGTTCGAAGTTTTGTTATTATAGTAAATAGCTTGAGTTCGGTATTGAGCTTGAATCTTTTAAGCACGATGGAGATTATCTTGTATAAAAAGTAAGACAAGCTTACTTTGAGCTTGAAAATATTGAACAAGCCAAATTTGAACATTGATATATGATTTGGCTCGACTTGTTTATAGACAATATACATGAGTCCATTACTGTATTTTTCATCCAATAAACAATTTACTTGGGCCTACTCACATCTCTTTCTACTTGATTCTAATTAAGATTCTTCGTTGAAAGACCTCAGTGCAATTATAAATGTGTTTAATATATCAAACTCATAAGATCATCTTTAAAGGAGATGTTAAATTTTAAACATAAAATTTAAATTGTATGTGGCATTTTGACATCTTTCTAAATTTTTCTCTCCACCCGTTATGTCAAATTAAAATATTATTTTATTATATTATTTCTTTTCATAATTTCTGTTTTATAATTACAAATTTGATTACATTTTTTTATTTTTTTCCATTGTTTTAATTTCCTAATTTCCCAAATAGCATGTACACCAGAATGGGCAGCTGAATTGATACCCAAGACATAAAAAACTGAGGCTTCTGCGCTACAAAGTAAGTTAAATCATCTCAATAAGTTTCATACCTATATAACTTCAAGCCGTCTGCTTTTCTTCTTTTCTTTTAAATTGGATTCAAAATAAATTGAATCAATACAATATCGCATAGTGTCACATTCCAGCCCGGGCTCCCACCACATTCCGGGTTCGATTCCACCGTAGCACGATATTGTCCGTTTTGGACCCCGATTACGCCCTCACGGTTTTGTTTTTGGAACTCACACGAGAACTTCCCAGTGGGTCACCCATCCTGGGATTGCTCTAGAGCGAACCCGCTTAACTTCGGAGTTCTGATAGAACCCGAAGCCAGTGAGCTCCCAAAAGGCCTTGTGCTAGGTAAAGATGGGAATATACAGCCAGTGAGCTCTTAGAAGGCCTCGTGCTAGGTAGAGATGAGAATATACATATAAGGCTTACAGGATCCACTCCCTTGGGCGATGTGGGATGTTACAATCCACCCCTCTTAAGGGTCTGACGTCCTCGTCGGCACACTCGACTAGGGATTGGCTCTGATTGTCACATCTCGGCCCAGGCCCCCACCACATCATGAGCTCAATTGCACCGTAGCACGATATTATCTGCTTTAGGCCCCGACCTAGCACGATATTGTCTGCTTTGGGCCCCGACCATGCCCTCACGGTTTTGTTTCTGGGAATTCACACGAGAACTTCCCAGTGGGTCACCCATCCTGGGATTGCTCTCGCGCGAACTCGCTTAACTTCGGAGTTCCGAAGGAATCCGAAGCCAGTGAGCTCTCAAAAGGGCTCGTGCTAGGTAGAGATGAGAATATACATATAAGACTTACATGATCCACTCCCTTGAACGATGTGGGATGTTACACATAGCCTCTTCCCTTTGATTCAAATGCATTGCAAGATTTAGTGGTCAAATATTCAGTACTCAAATATTGGCTGGAGAGAACGCCAAGCTTCAAAGATTTTGTGACGGGTTGGGTTTTCTCTGAACCAAGAAACTGGGTTTTGCAGTTTGCAGACTGATATTTTCAGAGTTGGAGTTGGTGTGGGAGGAAGATAAATGTTTTCAAACAATAATAAAATTAATAAAAAGTATTTAATAATTAATCAATAAAAATTTAAAGCCGTTGTCAATTTTGAAAGTAAGGTGAGAGCTGTTATTCCATATCATGTCACATCAGATTTGACTTTTCAATTAGAAAACAATGTTGCTGCCTTTGACATCTTTTTTGGAGATGCTCTAATAAGTTCTTGGTAGTATATATAAATATAAACACCCAACAAAAGAGTACTGATCCTATTTTATTGTAAGTAGGCAAAGTTGTAATAAGTGTGATAGGGATCCTTCAATGATCATGTAAGCTATTGACTTAAGTATACTGGCGGCGTAAAATCTACTACAAAAATTTAGGAAAAAAACAAAAAAGAGAGAACAAATAAAATTATAAAGAATTACATGCATGATAAAACAAAATAAAACAAAATGATCGAGTAATATCTCTATTTGGTACGTAATTATTTTGCCAACGAATTAATTTTCCATTTTTCATTGATTGATTTGGTGTGGTGCAGTGGCTCCTCCTGCAGCATGAAGACGAAGACACCAAAGCATGATCTTGGAGCATTCTTCTGGTGGGATTCCCTTTAGTTTTGTTTCGTCTTCAAGAACCACTTCCTTTACAAATTTGATTGAATTCTGTTGCCAAAACAGCAATTAAAAAACCTTGTTGTTAAACTTAAAAAATATATAAACATATATTCAAAAGCAAAACAAGCATCCACATGCTTATATAATTCAAATAATAATTGAAAGAGAGTAACCTAATTATATATAAATACGATTAGTTCTGATATCGTATTTACTTTTATAATTTTTTTTTTTTGTCAATTCCATCTTTTTATCTTTACAAGAGTTTTTATATTTATTTTTTTCAAGGGCATTGTTAGTTGAATGATTTTAAAATGGTTGGAGGATGCCAACCTCTACTAAACCATTTTACTTATAATATTTAAGCATAAAATACTCTGACAGGTTGGTGTGACAGGACCCCAGCTACAGCTACACCAACTTAAATAATTTGATTTCTTCCATATATCTTTTTTCTTAATGATACTTTCCCTTTTACTGTAATTTAAACTTTTTTCAGAAAAGTTATGATAATATGCGTTTGCATAGAAGCATGTCTATCATCGATGGGTGCATATTAAATTTCACATAGCTCCACTTTCATGAGGTATATAAGAGGGAAGAATGACAGATATGGGACATGCATTTTATATTATCAAATTATGAATTGAGACATTATCCTAAAAAACATGATTCTACATATTTAATAACCGTAATTTTAAAATTAACGTCAGACTATGATAAGAGACAATTCATGTACCTGATAGGAGCTTTGGAGAGATGAAGTGCGACCCCATCTCTCGGGGTCCCAAAGAATTGAACTATTGAAAGCAAAACTTGAGATATGAATGGGAAGCCTAGTCTCTGTTTCATTGTTCATTTGCTTCAAATGCCATCCTATGACTTGTGAAGAATCACATACAGGTCCTTCAATGATCACCTTCTTTCTGTTTGCTGCAAGTAGAGCAATTGGCCATGTCCCAAAAACCCTGCAAATTAATAAACAAATGAAGCACTTGACAAAAGATTATTTCCTTCAACAAATTTCTGTTTAGATATTACAATGTATCCATTTGTATATAGTGATAAATAAATCAAAATTAAATTATACCCAGTTGTTTTTATTTATAAATTTTAATTGAAAACTATACATATATAACAGTCACGCACGCACGTAAACAGCTGTTAGCTATTGATGTGCGTATATCCCACTACGAGACTCGTAATTGTTTCAAAAACTTAGACTTACATATGCACTTTAGAATATTGGCAAAGTCCAACAAAATTCACTAATCACAACCTTTTTAGTCCGAATGAGTAATAAGGGACACTTATTTTTTTACCCTTCCGGCAATCACACCTTTCTTAAAAACTACTCGAACTTTGAAACCTCCATCCCTCCAGCTAAATAACCATAGGTTTCTTACGTTCAAAAAAATAAAAAATAAAAAAAATTCAAGATATCATGATCCATTCCTAACAGCATAAAATACTAGGTAAAATTAATTTACAACATAATATTCAAAGTTAAAAATTTTAATCGAATGAAAAAAATAAGGAATCAAGGAATATTTACGTACTCAATTTCTCTGAGTTGGTCGAAGAAGCCAAGATCGTAAACATTAGAAAGCCCAGCAAAGTGAACAATCCCACTAATCCTGTGCTTTTCAATGTGCTTAAGAGCAATGTTCCTCTGGCGATCCCTTTCAGCTTCTGCGTCTGTAAAATTCATTCTCGAAACCAAATGCCTGTACATAATCCCCGTTCCCATCAGCACTTCGGACACTTCATTCGACTCCGTTTTCGGCGCCACCACGATCCAAAGCAACGGCTGAGGAACCAACCTTATAGTATTGGCTAGTCTTCTCAAAAACACACTTTTAAACTTAATGTCTTTCGTGCTCGTTGCCGTCGCAGTGACTATGATTATGAACCTTCTCGGCGTCACTTCGGGTTCTTTCTTTTCCTCTGCTTCTTCTTCTTGTGTGAACCTCGAGTTTTCGGAGCTCTCTTTGTGCCTTGCAGGTTCTGCTGCTGCTGCTATTGACACATTTGGTGTCTCTGCAGCTATCAAACTTCTATTAATAACATCCGGTACTATTTCTTGCGGCGGTTCTACCGACTGCGGCGGAAAGTCCAGTGATTTATTGGAGGAAACCACGGCATCGGTTCTAGCGAAAAGCGAAGCCTTATCCGTTGGAGCAAAGCCTGAGAAGAACCCCATAACAAAACACAAAGCAAAATGGACGGCAGCTTTCTTCCATAATTGGACCCTCTTCTTTGTTCTTTCCGTTGTACCCATTTCTTTGAAAAATCTATTAAATTTGGAATTAGGGTTACTGGGTTTTTTGGTGGGTTTTGGCCAGTATAATATATATAATGTAGGAATTTGTATGAGAAATTTTATATCAGATTGGTTTATGCTTAAAGGTGTTAATTTATAATAAAAAAAAAAAAAAAAAAAGGTGGAGCTAGCTAACTTGGTTATGATTGATACTGGCAAACTCAAAGAACATTTGTTTTTGTTATGAGGTGCTTCTTCTGGTGAGTAATTTTTCTTTTTGTTAGTTGTTGCTTCAAGTAAAAGGAAGTTGAAGAGAAATGGGAAGGACTTGAGTTGCTGTCTCTGCACCAAATAGTTGTTGGGATAGAAACCCGTCAACTAATTGGCATCAAAATTCAACCGATTGCTAGATGGTGTTTCTTTTATAATATGGAGTCAACCAAACTTTATATATAACACAGAAAGGAAAAGAAGGATAGAGTATATAAAACTGGTTTAAAGGACTGGGAGAGTCTGCATTATATTTTAGAGTTACTAAGCAATGTTCTTACAGCTTTTTTTAACATAAAAATGGACTTAGGAGGGAATGTAAGTTATGTTTGAGTTAGAGATTTTTAAGTCTTAAAGGGGTTCTTTCTAAAAAAAAAATAAAAAAATAAAAAGGTCTTAAAGGGGTTGACAAGAGATGTTAGAAAAACATCATAGGAGTATTATAAAGGTATGTAACAAAAATTTATAAATTCTTTTAGAACAATTCTCTCGTATCGAACTTCAACGATCCGAACTGTCTATTTTGTAAGTGTTGATTCATAGATCATCCTTGCAAAAATTCAATTGAATCCGAAACCATTTGTCTATTTGATTGTCACAATAAAAGTTCAATGTTTCTTAGAATATAGTGTTCGTCAATTTCTTTGAACTCAATTAGATGCCTCAAATATTTCCGATTTGGCTAATATTTTGCAAAGATCATCTATGGGGTGCACCTTAAAAAATAAACAGTTCGAATCGTTGAAATTCGATATGGTGTGGGTCTCACAACAAGTCCTTTTTTTTCAAAAATTAGAAACCCCTTCTCTTAAAGAATCTGTTTACATCACTATTATTTATTAAAAGACTGTGATCAGTTTCATTGGTGTAAACTTCTGTAAAGTAATTGAGTTATCGATATTCTACTAGACTCTGTTTGGGATGTTAGAGAAAATTTTAGAAAGAAAATAAGATTAATTTAGTTGCCATCATCATGATTCACTACTCACAACTCACAAGCTTGATAAGAACATTTTGGACTCTCATAACGGAAGTAACACGTGTGTCTTAAAAAGATAGTTCTATTCACATACTTATTTTTACTTCTCACACATTTTACTTAGTTTTCAGTCGTTGGATCGAATAAAAAGAAAAAGATCAATGACAAAAAATTAATAAGAGGGTGTGAGAGATCAAAATGGATGTGTGAATAACATTATTCTTTTTTTTTTCTTTTTCTTTTTTTCTAAATAAACAATATTATCTACAATAAAGGTGAAAGGTAGGCGTAATTATCTACACTAAAGGTTCTACAATAAAGGTGAAAGGTAGGCTTAATTATCTACACTAAAGGTGAGAGGTAAGCTTAGCCTCATAATAGACTAATAATAATGTGGTTTAAATTCGCCTTAGGAGATAATCAAACCTAAGACCTCTCACTTACAAATGAAGAGAAATACTATTAGACCGTAATATTGAGTGGTAACACTATCATATTAAAACATAAAAACTCAACCGATTGCTGCCTAGGGTATAGAATTTGGAATTTCACTTCAAACATTATGTGTTATTAAATAAATACATGTATTGTAGCTAGTCTTGTATTTAAATTTAGTCTAAGTTGTAGTAAAGGTCTTATCTATACCAGGAGCTTAGTTTTTGTCATTGAATCCTATGAATAGTTTCTCTCGTCCTTGAATTATGACGTTGCACTAGTAGTTCTTTTCGTTAATTCCGTCAACTTTTCTGTCAAATTGAGGGATAAAACACTAATTCATCGAAAAAATATGAAAATGAATTTTAACGAGAAAACTTGGCTCCTCAAGGATTGAGGAGGAACTCCTCCTTAAAATACTTTGTGACTTATTCATAGAACTTCGTGCTTATGATCGGAACTCCTTAAGGATTGACTATACGATATCTTAGTATTAATTGATTTTTTGCAGAGATGATCTTTATATAAGGATTTATAACATGAATAGTTCTGCTAAAAACAAAATTCTTTGAATAGGCCACAAAGTATTTTGAGGAAGAACTCCTTCTTAACCTTAAGGAGTCAAGCTCTTCTCTCTTTTTTTTCTTTTCTTTTTTAATAAATAAATTCGTTTTTTTTTTCATATGAAAAGACTACTGTACCCTCAAATTTGATAGAAAATAAAGCAGATTCGACGGAATGACCATTCATGCAACACAGAGGTAAGTTAAAGGACAAAAGTAACTAATATGAGAATTCAGAGATGAAAACTAAACATGAGGGAAAATTCAAGAATATTTGCTATCACGCACCCTTAAACCTACTAATTGATTGTTGATGCAGATTTAGTTGAAAGCTAAAACTTAATAACTCACTCGTTTTTTATAAGCATAGTACATTAGTGGCCTCTTATTAAGCTAAACCTACCACGTACCCATTCCTCATATTCGAAGGAACCGTTAAACTAACCCATCATCTCAATGCTTATATATGTTTTGATTGAAAGCAACAAACACGGATGCCACCACACATTGAATACCATACAAAAGACTTCAAACTTATGGAAGACTTTTTTTTTTTTTTTTATCCTTTTTGGTTTGTACATTTATTCTTAATTTGAAGAGTTTAATCCTTTAATCAGCAAGACTTGTATTTAGTTTTAAGGGGCACAGATGTAATTAAGCTAAAAATGAATGAGTATACTAGTTAAACTTGGTTTAGCAGGAGTTGGCGTTTGAATTAGTGAACCAGACTGAATCAAACCTAAAAAAATAAACTGAAAAAGTTGATTTTAGCTTGAACCAGTTTAGTTCTCCACTAGAAAATGTGCCCGCGCGATGCCGCGAGACTTGAATACATGATGTTGAGCTGTATGATGAAGATATGTTTTATCTGGATAAATTTAACACAATGAAGAATGAAGAGGAGGATAGATGTGTGAATGGGGTTGATAAGATATGTAGTTTTGTTTTTATATACATTCAACTTAACTGATGTGAAAAGACATTGATCAATTAACAGAACGAAAGTGAACGTTTTGGTTCCTTAATAAACAGAAGTAACATGTAGTTTACACAAATGTCGGCCCTGTAGTAAAGGTGGCAAAATAGATGTCATTTGAGTTAGGCACATGTTTGAGCAGTTGACAAAACATATAAAAACTGTTTTGTTCTTATTCTAGCATCATAGTTTTGAAGCACAAACGCGCAAAGTAAAAACTATGCAAGACGTTTGTTTCCTTAAGAAACAGCAGTAACATGTTGTCCACACATATTTTGCCATTACATTTAAGATGACAAAATATGTCTTGTAGGTTGGTTATCTGTTTCAGTAGTTACCAAAAAACAAAAAGAGTGTTTCGTTGTTGTTGAAGCAGCCAAGTCCTTAAGCTAAAATGTTGAAAGGCAAAAAGATGTAGAAAGCTCTGCTGCAGTCGATCACGGAGATTGTGGTGTTAACTTCTTCTGAGAGTGGACATCTTCCGCACTATAACAAAGAATATAAATTATAGTTTAACAAATGCTACCATGATGTTTGTTATGTAGGTGTCTACTGGAAAAATGGGTGTGGGTTTAGCACGTGGGAATTGAACTTTTTGACTCATGCAACACGCAGTAAACTGCGGGGTAGAAATAGAAGAAGTACGCTCAGGATGGTTCTTTGTCTGCTCTGCAGACCAAAATAGAGCACTGCAATATTGACATTGGCAATTTCTTAATCCAAAATCAACATATTCTGGATCAATCCCTATAAAAACGATGAATAATAGAAGCATACATCAAACCAATTGATAGAAGTTAATTAACGAAGATAAGCCAAATTTTAAAATCAGCAGCAAAATGTAAACAAAGTTATATTGAAAGAGTGCATACTCTTTCTTTTTTTCTGATAGGTGGCCTGCCCAGTGATGAGCGGGTTTTTAACAGAATGAATAGTTGGAGCATCTTTGGCTAACAACCGGCGCATAGTGGCATGGTCAGCAAGAAAAAGGGGTACAGAAATTTGATGAGAACTTGTTCCAGCTGCTAAATGTGAGGTAAGAAGATCTCGAACAGGAGTATGTTGTTCAAAACTTGATGTAAATGTTTGGGGAGGGTTGTTTCCTTTGTTTAAAAATAGTAAAGAGGTTGAAGTATTGTTGTATTCGTCGTCATAACTGATGGGAACATCTTGTACTACGATATCATCAAGATTAACAACCGCAATAGATGTAGGCGAATCAGCACGCTCAGTTCTAGCGGCATTCCTAGATAGCCCTATTCTTCTAGACATAAATCTACATAAACGGAAAAAACCACACAGCAATGGTTTACTTTCTAACAGAAGGAATGTGACGATGAAACAACTATGTTAACCATATGAAATGAGCGGTGAACCAAAAGCCATTCAAGCAAGAGGTCATCAGAATCGCAAACACTTTGTTAACATAATAGTAAAAACATAATCCTAATCGTTTTAGATTAGAATGAAGAATAGAGACAATTGATTTGTAATTGCTTCCTTAAATAGTGTGGTTTGTCAGTGCAGAGTGGAAAATTAATGATTAAAGTGAACGATGATTGCAAAAAAATGGTGATAAAGGAAAGCAGCATAAATATTGAATAACGACGTTACTATGATTCAAAAAAGCATGCATAGACGATTGAACATGTAAACCGAGAAAAGAGTAACAATAAAAAATAAAAAGTTAAAGGTTCTTTAAAGGGATAAAAATCTAACCGTTGTAGAGACGAAAGCGTAGCTGTGAATGAATGCCACGAAAGAACAGTGCAGGACTCCAACGATAAAAAGAAAACCTAGAGAAATAGGAAGACAAAATATAAACACATATATAATCAAAGAGAAGCCAAAGACAGAACAAACATCGAACTATAAAAACTAATGCACGGCTCAACGACATTAATATAAGACATGCATTTATAAATTTGACAGAAACAAACAAATTATTTAGGTTTGACTTACTTTAGACCGATAGATAGTGCAAGATGAAAAGTGTATATTTAAGAGTTTAAGCCCTTAATTTCCAACAATAAATATATTTTAACAGTCGAAGACGGAGTTGTACCTCACGTAGTTAATCAACAACATATGTAGAAACATTTGTGATGGATGCTAAAGGATATGCATCATTTGAGAGTTCGAAGATTAAAGCTTGCATTCAGTATATGTTAGATCCTGTAAACGTTGGAAAACTTTTTCATTAAATATGTTTAGGGAAACATAGAAATCTATGATGCGATTCCATTGTTCCGTTTCACAAAGTTTGTAGGTTGGACTCTTATTAAACGGTGAGCTTGATACAAATTATTAATGATAGATATACTCCAGGATGTTTGGAGTTTAAGCACCACCACTTAAACATGTCAACAATACTTCATGATGTTTTGAGTTTAAGCACCACCACTTAAACATGTCAACACGTCGATAAGTTGACTGGAACAACTTTATTTATAAGAAATAAAAATTGAAAAGAATCATGAAAAATCTGTGATGGTGGAAAAAATGGATTGAAATCACTCCAAGGTAAGTAAACATAAGAAACATTTTATCACGGTCATAATTCAACTTGAAATTCCTGTCTAACGTGATGAACAACTTTGTATCCATAGCTGAAGACCCTAAAAATGTAAACCCCTAATCCATACTTTTAAATTGACACCCTCTAATAAAATCGTATCCAACTTTATGAATCACTTTGAAGTAGTTAAAAACCATTAAGTTGAGAAGTCATTAAAGATCCAAACATTAAAATCACTGTAGAGGAACAGTGAGGTGACCAATGTCGGCTGTTTTCACAGTTATCAACACAACTACGAAACCATGAGCATTAATCTTGCCACCTAGGCAAACCTCACCATCTCTAAACCCACCCTTTGCACACCGCAAGGACCTTTTCTATTTACAATTGTTGCATTGTTTGCATAATATGATGCCTTCCATATTCAAATAGTTACATACCAACCGAGAATAATAATATAAATTCGTCGCTCACCCCTTTTTCCCCATTTGAAAAACCACCCGAAAAACCACATTAATTACCATAGTTTTCAAGAATTCAGATATGGCTGCAAAGAATGAACTAACACAGCATAAAACATATGTGTTGGAGTAACCAATTAAAAATTGTTGAAGGACCAACCAAAATTTTCAAAGTTAAAAATGAGAATAGAATCTTCATAAAAACAACTAAATTTGCAATTTAAAAACAAACGAATAATATCAAAACATTAATAGAAGAACTGTTTTATTAGTGTATAACCAACAAAGAAGCATGAGTCAAATGATCCTATCAAGAAAAAGAGAAATGGAAAAAATATATAAGCAGAGAAACATATTCCTAGCACGCCAACACTTCATCCTTGAACGGTAAAGGGGTTAATTGTTTACATTATTGATGTTATGACCAAACAAAAGAGGTTTACATGGCGTTTATCTTATCTAACACCCGTTAAGTCTCTATACATTGAAAACCTAGAAGGATGTTACGGTGGAGGCAAGAAAGAGCAACAAAATTCCAATTTTGTAGCAACAACCAAACTTGTAGATCCCATCGAAAACCCGCCAAAAAATATGTTAAACTTCTTCATTCAACGGAAGTTGTTCTTTCGGCGAATTACTACGATTTTCAGGCAATTGGATAGTGTGGACGACCAATTTGTTTCGGTTTGCACCCTTACCATAAACACGCAAACCCATCCTTGTTTTTTCTATTTTGACTTCTTCCTTTGTACTGGGTCCTGGGGGAGTTTCTCTATATATCTGTATCCTTCTTCGAATCTTGTTATTGTTTCGAGCCTCAATCAGTTCCTTTAAATTTTTAACCAAAACTCCTCCTAGAATTTGTTGTTCGCTTCGATCAATCTCTTTGACCATTTTATCTATCCTAAATCACAAATTAAATATAGTGTCAATACTTATGTTTTTTAGAAAAATCTGTTTAGCTTGAAGGTCTTAGAATAACACAGTAAAAAAATTTTAAAATTTAAATATAGAAGTTGTGATTTTTTTTTTTGGAAATATGTCTGGTTTGTTGAGAGATTGGAATTGTTAACATCACTTATTAAAGCACTTCGGGGAGGATGAGACGGTAGACTACCAGATAAACCTAACGAAAAGACCAACCAACCAAAGTAACTAACCTTCGAAGAACGGTTTGGTAAAGTGAGAACGTAACAAAGAAAGGAAGCAACCAAAAGAAAACATATAAAATGCTCAACAACATTTGATAAACAATTAAAAACATTGGGTTAGATAAGAATCATAGAGACACCAAGAGACTTTCACACAGTAACAAAATTGCATAGACAAAATTTAAACCAAAAAAAAGAAAGAACTATCGGACCTATGGAGAAACAGAGGTTACAAAGAACATTTGATAAACAATTAAAAACACTGGGTTAGATAAGAATCACAGAGACCCAGAGACTTTCACACAATAACATAATTGCATAGACAAAAGTTAAACGAAAAAAAACGAACTATCGGACCTTTGGAGTATCAGAGGTTACAAAGATAACGAAGAATGAGAAACAAAGCTTAGAACAAACGTTTAATATGAGGTGAAAAAACCTAACAGTTATGTTAAAAATTATAAAATCGCACTATTTGAAATGGAAAGCATGGGGAAACAATGTATTGAAGTTCAGAGCATACCAAAGGGTTGATTGAAACGTAATGGTTCGGAACCCCTTGATTAAAGGCAGTAGCAAGAGCAGATTATGATTGAACAATGTGAGCACAATCTAAACTGCGAAAAAGCAGTGAGACTGAGATTAATAATTTGAAGTGCAAACAAACAGTTACAATAAAAGTAACTTAAATTGTGATTGTATAACTACTAAGAATTTTCTCTATGATCTTTCATATTTCCCCTTAGTTGTTTGTAGTAATGCTTTATCTTATCTAACAACTGTTCGATCTTTATACAGTGAAAGCCCAAAAAGCCGTTACAGTGGAGGAAAGCAAAAGCAAAAAAATTCAAATCTTCTTGCACTAACCAAACGTGTAGATACCACCAAAAAACCTTTTAAACAAAATCTAAACTGTTTCATCCAACGGAACTTGTTCTTTTCGTGAATTACTACGATTTCAAGTGTATTTTAGAAAGAAAAATGTGTTTAGCTTGTAGATCTTAAAATAACATTGTCAAAATTTTTTAAAACTCAAATATAGAAGCGGTGAGTTTTTTTGGAAATAACTTAGATTTGTTCGGAGAGCGTATTTATTAACAACACTTATTAATGTACTTTGGGACGGATGAGAGGGTTGACTCTTAGGAAAACCTAACGAAAACACCAAGCACACCAAGCACACCAACCAAGCAAAGTAACTAAGGTTTGAAGAGTGGTTTGGAAGATTGAAAACGCGACAAAGAAAGAAAGCAATTGACAAAAAAAAAACATATAAAATGGCTAACAACATTCGACTAAGAATTAGGAACACTCGGTTAAAGCAAAATCATAGATGACACCAATGCACCTTTGAACAATAATAGAATGGTTGAGACTAAGTTAAAACCAACAAAAACAAAGAAACCAATGAACTTGTGAAGTATCAAAAGATCACAGAGATAACGAAGAATGAAAACAAAGCAGGTAGCAAACGAATGACATAAGCTGATAAAACCAAACAATCGACTGAAACATGATAAATCTGCATTAACTCAACCAGAAAGCACGGGGAAACAATGTATCTTAGTTTAGGTGACATACCAAAGCCTTGATTCAGATGCAATAGGTGCGGATCCCTAGATGAAAGGCAGCAAGAAGAGCAGATCACAACGTTGCAATAACACCTTGATCTAAACAACAACAAATCAATGAGATTGAGAGTTAGAATTCGAAGCGCAAACAAATGGATACAGGAAAAGTAACTCAATTTGCGACAGTGCAATGGACTCTAACTGGGACAGTTCAATGGACTTAATGTACGAAAAATTCACATTTAACGAAAGAAAAGTTGCTAACAATGGGAATGCATCTTCTGTCACCATATTAATTTAAAGGCCTAAAGTAAGGATGAGGTATCGTAATCGGTTTTGAATTAGTACAGGGGTTAGAGTGTGAGAACGTTGGTTTTAGAAGGAATAGGCTAAATAGAGCAAATAATGGTTCACGACCTAGCATGCATACCACATTACACTTCATGTACAGCCTAAAATAATAGAAAATATCAAAAATTGTCGAAAACAAACACTAATTTTTTAGAGCCTGAACTGATACAAATTAGAAACACCTCAATTCGCTTGCCTTCATTATTCACTTTATATCTTAAGAATAATGACTAAATAGTTTTAAATATTAAACATTCCACAATCAAAAAGATTAAACACTTGAATCAGTACTAATAGTCATTTCAGCCAAATTCATGATTGCAAGATCCTTGATATAGTATGTCTTGACAACAGATTCAATGATCATATTATATGCATGGACGTAAAAAAACAGATGCATATATAGTTATATACACATCTATGCATGCATACCTATATAGGTATGTACATACACACACAGATGCATACATACACATGTATATATGCATACATATACATATAGCTATGCAGATGCTTATACATATATTTAGACATATTCTTAGGTATATATTGATAAATATACTATTTTGGCTAAACCGAAGTTGAGCAGACATAATACAAATAAGGAAATTATGGATTTTAGAACAAATAAATTTTGGCTAGCATCTGTCCAGAATTAATTAAAATACAGAACATGCATGAGGAATTATGTTTTACATTATCTCACTTGATATGATATTCAAAGGAAAAATAATTTTGACAGGAGTGCGAAATATTTTAGAAAAGATAAAAAAAGATTGGATCTTAAATAACATTGATTAGTCTAAATTAATACCTTCCACTATATGAGAAAAATTAGATTGTTTCTCCATTTCTTAAAGACAGAAACCTCACTCTAACATTGTACGAAACAGTGCACTCAACAGCCTAATCTCCCCAACACCCAACTAAACAGCCTATAAACATCCATTACAATTTTAAAGAAAACAAAGGGTAAATCTCAGAAGGGTTTAACTGACGACCAGTCATTTATGCTTGATAATGTTCTGAATTTTTAAAAACTGTTAACTGATTGAAAAACCACACCATTTAAAGAACCGGTGGAGATCAGAATAAGTATGAAATACTACATAGATAAATGAACAGCCATTAATATAATTTTTTTTCTCAGCATGGCAGCAACAATCAGAAAAAGAAAAGGAGAAAATCTATGGGATAAATTTAAAGTCTATTTGAAAGGTTCAATATATTTGTTTGTCAAACTCAGTGATCAAACTTCATACTCATGCTTTCCAAAAAGAAAAGAAAACGAAAAACTGAAATCATTGACAATTCCAAGCAATATAGTAGCTACTATTAAGATCCAAAACGAATTGTGGAAAGTATGGGGACCAATCACTATTAGAAGTTGGAAAGATATGATGATGCAGCAGTTTGACAACACAGTTTGGGAAACTTTGGGTAGGAAATATGCTCGCAAGGAAAACCGACAATGGGTGAGTATGACTCTCAAAGCTGGTTATGTTTAAATTACTAAATTACCATGATCGTTGTTGGTTCGTTTTCACCGATGGTCTACTTTGTATTCAAGTTCTTGTAAAGAAAATTGGTCTTTTAACATGCTCTTTTCTAAATTTTAAAAAGATCGTAATTTATTAATAAATTCAATTCCCAAATTGAAATTGCGAAGAAAGTAGATCCGTTAGATGCTCATGTCTTTCTTGGTACAGATACTCATATTGTGCTTAATTAGCATCACACATCATGATATTAAAGTTCTAATCATGTTAAACCTATGCCATGTAGCATATGCATTCAACTCAATACCCTAAAATTACAGCCAAAATTAATTGATATTATCAAGAAGTTGAGACTTTACCAAAGCAGCAAGGTAGCAGTTGCAAAATTCACAGTCAAAAGCTTTCACTTTGTTTCGATCTGCAAAATACCAAAAAGACATTTACGATTGAGGAAAGAAAACACATTTGATTAAAGAATGCCTTCAGCCATTATCAAATTGTCAACCGAGCGAAATGTATAAAACTATACAAATTTACACAACCAAACTTTATACTTTTTATCAGCGAAAAAAACAGCAATTTACCTAACAATAAACATGAAATTACATATTCAAATTGATTCGACAGTTTTTAAAGATTCAAAAACTGAACCAACAGACATTTTTTTTAATATCAAACTCATTGTGTCATCTGAATTTACTTGTATACATAAGCTACCAATGCAATCACTCTGCTACCACATTTGGTAAGCTATTAATAGCAGAGGAAAAAAAAATTTACAGAACAAACTCGCAATCAAAATGAGTTACGATCTGAAATAAGAGCGTAGCGATCAAACTATTCGATAAGAAACGATGAATCAAAGCAATTTTCTATGAAACAACTAAGGACCTAAATTGTAACGTCTATAGGGTAACCTACACTTAAAAGAATTAACCATGCCAAAAGCACGGTATAAATGAAGTAAATTACGAACTCGACAAATAAAAAGCGTAAACGTTAAACAATTTAAAAGAAAAGAAAACAGCCTTTACTTCGGCTCTTGTTTCCTTCCCCTTTTCTTTTCCCAGATACTTCCTAGTGGGAAATATAAACCTTTAATTAAGTGAACACGTCAGCCAAAAAATTGACAGGATTAGAGCAAAAGAAAGCAACTAAGAGGTCTAACTTATGTGGTTGAGCACTCTGGGTTAACAAATACCCATCTAACCCAAACCACTATGGGTTTTAAATTATTCTATCCAGGAACAGTGATGGGGTTTCACTGGCAGTTGACGACCAGTCATTTATACTTGATGATGTTCTCAACGACCATTCGGATAAAGCTATTAAAATGTGTTCTAGAATTGCACACCCTGTGAAGGGATCAACACCAGACCACGTCCCTAGAAATTGGCCCCAAAAAACCATACTCGTACCTCCCTTACCCGTTCCCTTTCTTCCAAGTTAGGTTGCCTTGCTGGATTATGGCCAAGTGATAGATCTACCGGATGAGTTGAGAGTTGGTTATGCTAACCTTGTTCTTGCCAGTGTCGACGGTGACCCTATTAGAGTATCAGAGAGCCACATGTAATGACTTCACTGATACTGCCTTAGTTCAAACTAAGCTATTAAGGCAAGAAAAACTAAGGTTGAGACATGACCTGCAAACTGTGTGCAAGTGCATGTGAGTGCAAGGCTCATGGAGACAAAATCGCAATAGAGAAAATAGGTGAATTAGATCATCAAACGCTGTATCAATAAGTGAGATTGAATAGAATGGGGTGTTATTGTTGTGCTCAACTTGGATACCGGTATATACATGCTTTGACGGTTGGTACGTACATATTTCCAAAGATATAATATACATACACATACATATATATATATATATATGTATATATACATATATATATACATGTGTATGTGTATATATACGTACGTATATATACATATGTACGTATATATACATATATATGTATATATGCATACATACATACATATATGTATATATGCATACATACATACATATATATATGCATACATACATATATATATATTTATGTATATGTACATATATATATATATGTATATATAAGCATTCGTTAAACTTCAGACGTATGCAAAAGTTTTGATAATGTTAAACCAATGAGACCTTAAATAGATATTCCATACATAGAAAAATTACCATATTTGCTTACAACATTAATATCCATAAGCCAAATTATTCATATGTGAACATAGGCATCTGTAAAGTCTGAAAAACATTGGCTTGTTCATGACTTATAATCAAATACTGCATGAAAGTAATAAGAAATGTAAATCTATACTAACAACATGCCTGAGTCATCTTCTACACGAACCTCAATTAAATGACAGAAGTAATAATTAGCAAATAGTAATTGTATAGCTTCAGTCTTATCACAATGCAATCATGCTGAACTCTAATTGAAGGTCTAATAGCCATGCATCTTTGCAAATATACAATTATAAACCATCAGAAAAGAACATGACAGATTCAAACCATTATGCAAAAACAGCAACCAATGCAAACCATTAAGCACAGATTCCAACCTGAGCTTCAAACAAAATTATATAGTGTTAATCTACGTTTGATTAGCTTTACAAATTTGTGAGATTTCTACTTGGTAGTTCCATGAAGACTTTCTGGTTTTAATTTTTTCAAAACTGAAGTGTGATTCGTGAAAACATGAAAATACAAAGTTCCTAAAAACCTACTTAGCAATTAACAAAACACACAAAAAGCGCTGTTTGTGCAGGTAAGTCGTCAAGCACAGATGATTTCACTACCTTTTAACAATACACCAGTAAGCTTATCACACTAAAAACTGATATTAGCAAATACAATGATGAATGATGTGAAACTGAAGATGTAATGAAAGCTTATATTAAGTAAGAATGAAAAGCCGTATTTCTATAAGTTGAAAACAAAATTTAAGTGAATGCCCCTATAACTAAGGTTATTGAACATGATTAACTATCCGCAACCCACAACCTTGTAACCTGAATCAAATTGGTTTGACACATACCAATAGAAAATCAAATTGATTATGACATACTTCCAAAAGTATATAAACGATATAATATAGGTTAGAATCATTGGATATTAATCTACAGTGAAGGAAGCTGTTAAACATATATGCTTAGGTAAATGATTTTCAGGCACCCTTATTTTTTCTTGCCACTGGACTGAACAAAAAAAATGAGAATGAAGGGCTAAATCACTTCCAGTTAGTCTTCTTATTAGGCTGTGACCAATCTACAGTACATGTAACATCATATTTGAAATTGAATTAACAGTTTTGAATCCTATTTGGATCACCAAATCTTATTTATTGATTCAGAATCGATTAACATCATATTTGGATAGATCAAAGTTAATTTAAAACCTAGAAAATATTAAAATATAATGAATGAGTAACCTCATTCTTATTCTATTTTTCGATTTTAATTAAACTACCACTACAGAAAACCATAAGTAATATAAAGATCAAAGGATATGTTATATTAAGTCATACTATATCAAGTTGGACTGAATTAGCCTTGATTTATATAGATCCATTTATAATCGGATTATCAAATTGAGATCCTAGCAATTGGATATCCTTTATTCATGGTACTATAAAAATGGGTATATACTAAGTTGGAATCACTACAGCAAAAAAAATAAAATAAAAAAAAATAAAAAAAAACAAAAAAAAAAAACAGAGAATGCAGCATTTTCTCATATTTTTGAATCAATTGTAAACCCTAAAATTGTTACGGCTAGACCTTTCATTCACACCTCAGTTGTTGCTGTATCCCTACATCTATGAAACCAATTTCATTCAAGAAATAATGCAGAGGATAAAATCGAAAAAGAAGTATGTACCCATGATTAGTTGTCTCGTTTATTCTTTATAAACTAATCACATATTTAAAATCTAAGTACAAAAGCTTTGCAAAGGTAATAAAAAAAAATGGTGTATAACTAATTAGGCTTTTGAACATGTAATCAGTGTGCAGAATTGTATACCTAAAGATGGCAATGCAGTGTATTCTTCGTCCCAGAATCAGGGTTCCTGAAATTTCCAAAGAAAGTAAATCCGTTAGGAAATCCGAGAAATTGGAGGAGCAAATATCATTAAATTTGAGTTAAATGAGGTAACATACAACAATTAAATGAGATAGTAAACAGATTTCAAATCTAGGAAATGTAATGGTTGAAATCCAACCAAATCTAATCGTTCAACCTAATGCGTTTAATCCGAAATCTAATGGTTGAAATCCAACCAAACCTAGTCCATAAACCTATTGAAATTAAAACCATATGCCAATTGGCAAATTGGCAGATCAGTGTTGAGTGGAAAATGGTTGACTTGACTAATAAGTGAGTGATGAGTTTAAAACTCATCACATTTTCTCACATGCATTCTCCTTGGTCTTGGGATGGCGCAAAAACAAAACCACCATCCCACCACCTCCACCTCCACCTCCACACTCACCTCTACACTCACACAGAGTTGCTAATACAACCCAACCCAACCCAACCCATGTGGCAGACACACATTTCAGACTCCCAATTTATTCACTCATAACTTCATAATTCAAATTAACAATGTGAAACCAAAGATGGTTACATCCTTGGCCTTGACAAATTTTGGTTAGAACTATAACGTTGTTTCAATTTTTAAAATTTGATAACAGCAAGCAACAGAGCAGATAGTATTAAGATCGAAAAAGCATTCGAGAAACCGTGGGAAAATTGTAAAAGCTAAAAAAACTGTGATGGTGGAACGGATTAAATTTGTGAGAGTGCAACAAACAAAGGGTATATCTCAGAAGGGTTTAACTGACGACCAATCATTTAGACTTGATAATGTTCTGAATTATCAGCCGGATAAAGCTGTTAAGATGTATTTTGGAATCAGTCCTCTCACAGATCAATTAATTCAAATCGTAGTTAAATACTAATAGTGGCTTTAAAGAATGTAGGCTTGGTTTTAAAATAAAATAAATAAATAAATAAACCCAGAGCTTTCAGTTTAAGCACCACCCTCCAATGCCAACAGAAAACACACACAAACAGGACATGATTAACATGAAAATGAAGCTGAAACGAAAGTAAAGTTGAGCCTAAGTTGAAATGGATTAAAAGGATGATTTTTGCAGCTGAAGAACAACATTGTTACCAAATAATACGAAATGATTCTCTCCAAGTTAGAAAAAGGACACTATATACTGTATCAACAAAAAAATAGAAGGAAAAAGTTTTCATGAATAAGGAGATGATAACGAAAGGTTTAGGATATACCTGCTGCTATGAATTACAGATTCCTGTGGATGAGGCTCTTTGTTTCTCAAAAACTTGCAGGTGGTTGAGCTGCAAGGATACATGACATGGCAAAAAATTAGAGGGAAAAAGAGTTTGTATCCAAACACAGTAAGGAGAATTATATTAGAAATTAGTTTGTATAAAAGTTAACAAAAGTTAACAAAAATTTTTTAAATGGATTGAGAAATACCTCAGTAATGGTCTCTTTGGTGGCTGTTGTGTGAATGAGGGGTTTGATGTGTATGCTTTTGCTGGATCTACATGCATATGAAAAATAAAATTTATAAGTGCATCCCAAAAATACAGAAGCAACCAAGAAATGGAAAAACAACCTAGGAACATAGAGATACTCGAATGATGTGAAGTGGAAAAGGAACCTGAAGGTGATTTGGTGAGAAGCAAATAGTAGGAAAGTATGAAGAAACACACAAATGAGCAGAGTGTAACCCCATTATTTATAAAGACAGAAAGCTAAAAAGCCTAAACTCCCTAATTAAAAAACAATAAAGTTAAAAAGGAGACTGAATTTTGTTTACACATAAGCAAAGGAAAAAAAATTTCTGAAAAACACAAATATCAACATAGTGCAGTCCCCTAATTTAGAAAAACAAAGAGTAAACTGTAATAGTTAGCTGAACAATTAAAAATATCTATGACCAGCTATAATGAAGGGAAAATTAGCCGTGACAATTTAACAGTGTAGCCCCCTTATTTACAAAGACAAAGAGCAAGCTGTAAACTTAACTAAACAACTTTAAAATATGTATGACAGCTTTAATGAAGGAAAAATGAGCTATCACAATTTTAATAAAGGGAATGGCAAATCAAACAGTCAACAGCAAATTGAAAACAATAAACTGTGTAAACTTATATATGTTTTACGAAATTTTTTTTTATTTGTTAAGCTTTCATGTTGCTGTAAATTTAGGTGTTTTCTCTCTGTGTTGGTGTATCTGCTTAAACTTGTCAAACGTTGGTTAATCTTATGGAATATTTGATATACTTCACAGCTTACTGCGTATGTGCAATGGAGCAGCACAAATTTATCTACATTATGGTTGTCAGCACAATGGATTAGGTTGTAGGAAAAATGTGGACATATAGCTAATCCTAGAGGTGATCTAAACAACCTGCTAAAGACTAAGAGCAAGCCCTAATAGTTAAGTAAACAATATAAAATATCTATGATAGCATTAATGAGAGAAAAAATATCTATGACAATTTTAATAAATGAAATGGCTAATCAAACAGTAAACAACAATTAAAAACAATAAACTGAAAAAGAGTTAAATCCTAAGGTGGGCTAAACAATCTATAAAGATCTATGACAATTTTAATGGAGGAACAAAATATCCCTAACAATTCTAAAACAGAACAAGATCAATCACACAAAAAGTAATCAAGAAAAAAACAAATTAAATCAGCGGAAGATCCTAATTGACAAAAACAGAGACATAATCTAGCACCCAATTGAACAATTTATAGACATTCGTTAGAATTTGGATGAAAGAACAAAATATAAAAGAAAATTTTAACAAATCAAATGGCAATTAGGCACCAAACAATGAAAACAAAAGCAGTGCAATACCTTTTGAATCAAGGGAGAAAAATGAAAACCCAGATGCTGCCATTCGTCCCTGAGGCATGCCCTCCTCACCGACTCTGTGCGTAACCCGTCAACCCTAAAGAATACACACACCCATGCTTTCCGCTGTGTATCTCTCTCCCTGTCCATCTCTCTCTCTATAAAATGGGAGAAAATCCCATAGATCCTGGCAGAGGAGCTAGCAAAATCTTTCTCTCACTCAGTCCAAATCCCTAGCTCCCATCCGTCTCCAATCTGTCAGGCGCTATGTTAGTCGCTCTGTCCCCTCTCTTCCCTCGCCACAGCGACACCCAGCTGTCTCCGAGTCAAAAATGGGAGCCACTGTCTCTCTCAAAATCGTCAGCCGTGATGTCCCCTTCCCCTCTCTCCCCGAGTCAAAGCTGAAATGCAGTCCCTGTGTCTCCCTGCTCTGTAGTCGCTCTGTCCCCCTTTCTCTCCGCTCGACACAGCGACACCCAGCTGTGTCCGAGTGAAAATTTTGAGTCATCGTCTCTCTCCAATCTGTCAGGCATGACATCCCCCTCCCCTCTCTCCCCGAGTCGAAAGCTGCGAACGGTTGAAAATCAGTTCTTAAGCCTGAGTGGCAATTGTGTAAATAAAACGAAAGTGTGTTAAAAGCAACCGAGTGGCAATCCTGTAAATAAACTGAAATGTGGTGCAAAACACTGTTCATTTCTACAGTGCAATTTTGCCAGCTTCTTTAGACTAAAGTAATTATGTTATAAAAAAACAACGTGGTCTAATACATGACTAATTTTTTTTTGTATGGTCACACTGTAGTTGCAAAAGCATTTCCTCTAGGCTATTCTTTAGTTTTGGAACCAGAAGCCACTGGTCTTAAACACGGTCTTTTATGGGCCTCAAGACTGAGTAGAGAGATGGTGTTAGTTATTCAGATAGTTTTCTTGGCCAACCCTTATGAACAAACCAAATTTCATCGTAAATTAACCGAATCTCATCCCTCATTTAAATCAAAAATCCATTCAAAACCAACTAAATCAATTTGACTCCAAGCGCAATTCAAGAAGTTATAGACGTTTAATATCTTGCTTGGCTAGAACGACCCTTTTACCTAAGAGAGACGATTTGTGAAGTTGAGCAGCTAGAAGATGCAGGAATTTCTACTCTTCAGGAAGCCCTCAATCCAATGTACTTGAGTCGAAACTAAGAACTTAGGATGAACTCAAGTAGAAATAAAAGATTCATCACTTGTGTAATATCTTCCCAAAAATGGAGTATTGATGCCCAATGCTGTTAGAATTCCTCTGTCTCACATTGGCCAGAAGGCTTGAGAACAAGATCTTTAAATAGAATTACCCCACTCTAACTAACATCGAGGTCTTTTGTGATAAAACCTCATACCTGACGGATTGAGCAGGTGGCCAAGTGGGAATAATATCGATGTTGTTGGAGTGGGCCCTCGGCCCGTCTACTTGAAACTTAAGATGGTATCAGAGCTAGGGGATGGGCTCGTACATCCACATGAACAGGTGGGTCCCCTTTGACCCCGCGTGAATGGTTGAGCCCCGACTTGGCTCCACGTAGGCCAAGAGATGCCATGTGAATGGGTGGGTCCCCATTGGCCCTACACGAACGGGTGAGCCCCAGTTTGTCTCCACATGGTTGCTGATGTGTGGAACTCCACGTGTGACCCATAAAATGGGGTCTCACATGCGAGGGAGTGTTAGAATTCCTCTGTCCCACATTATCCAGAAGGCTTAAGAATAAGCTCTTTAAATAGAATTACCCCACTCTAACTAACATCGAGCCCTTTCGTGATAAAACCCCACACCTGACAAATTGAGCAGGTGGCTAAGTAGGGACAGTGTCGATGTTGTTGGAGTAGGCCCTTGGCCCGTCTACCTGAAACTTAAGAAATGCCTCTATAAAAGTGATGTCATGGTTGTATCAAGGGGGAGATTCAATCTCATGTCAATCATCTTCACACCTGAGCTAGTGAGCTTTAAAGCACTCCTCTCATGACCATATTTAAAAGCCTTAACCACCATAAAAATCTTATACAAACACCTCATAGATCTCAAGTATGGTAGCAAAAATCCACCATTTTTAGTGTTGATGAATTCTACCTGTAAAACAATTAACACTTTGGATCAAAAACCAAAGCCACACTCACCCACGAGGCAATGAGGGGGTTTGGCCAAGGATCTCTGATCTTTGAAAAGATTGAGTGTTTAGGACTTGTATGTGTGGCAAAAAACTTACCAAAATTTTGTGGAGATGGGTACATTTATTGGGGGAGTGACCGGTCATAACGTTAGGGTTAAGGTTTGCCCTACACATGGCGGCATCACGTTGGCCAAGGTGTGTCATCCATTGTATGAATGAGGATAGAATATTTCCAAAATATTAATTAGGAGATAATGCCTGAGGATGATGACAGAAGTATTTATGATTGATTACGAGAGGCATTCCTTACTTGATAGAGTTGATCTTCAATTGTGAATGTATTAAAGATAAGATTTAGTAATTAATCATACCTTTGATGATTTTAACTTTTCCACGCCACGAGCATGGGAGCTTTGAGCAGTCTTAGTTAGCTGTTCATGGATACAGAGTTGCGCGTGAGAGTATTTGAGAGCCCTGACCATTTAATGAAGGTTTTTTTGTCTTTATTGAAAAAAACTCACTTGTCGTCTTCCAGATTTTTAGGATTATTTTTTGATTCACATCAAGCACAATCAAACTTAAAAAAAATAAAAATAAAAAATAATAAAAAATAAAAAATAATAATAAAAAAAAAAATCTCCCTTGCTAAACTTGTAGATGCTTAGATTCAAGCCAGTCATTGAAAGATGAATTTTTCATTTCATTAGTCACAGAAGATGATCCTTTCCAGATCCACTTTGTAGAGATCTTAGGGATCCCCACATCCTAGTCGTTCATCGTACATCATGTGATTAGTTTTCGTTAGGTACTATTTGTGTTTAATTTTAAATAAAAAGTCAAATAATTTCTGATCACACAATGAATGACTAAGATGTGAGGATCCCTAGAATCCTCACAATTTGGATCCGGATGAGATCCAAATCCATTAGTCACAAGTTGCCATGAAATATCATCAAGGCATCATCAATAGGGAGAGGATCCTCTCCAGAGCCGGTTCCACCGAATCCTCCTCATTCCTCTTCTTTCTCTGCACTTTTTTGGCCCACGAAGTCGGCTTCGTGCTCCCTCGGAGTGGGCGTCGACCGGAGTCAGCGTCATGGCCAAGCTAGTTATCAGCAACGTCATAGTAGTTGTCACCGATTGTGTGGTTTTGAAGTTTTTCGATAACTAACTCCAGGAAGGCCACGACGTCGACTCCGACTGACGCCCACTCCGAGGGAGCACGACGCCGACTCCGGGGGTTGAAAACCTACAGAGAAAGAAGAGGAAGGAGAAGGATCTAGTGAAACCGGCTCTGGAGAGGATTATCCTCCTCGTCAATACACACACATGCTTTATTTTCCTTTGTTTTTTGGCCTAGTGTTGGAACCCTCAACACACCCACTTTGGCAATAAACAATAACAACCTACAATTGTTATCGTTGAATTTGTTTTGTGAGTTTGGAGTAATGCTAGGGAAACCATCTATTTAAACAGTATTTTGTAAACCATATGAAGTTGTTGTTGATGATTAAATTATCACTTAAATATTGATTAACGTGATTATTACCAATTAGTGAGTCTGACACGTCACATAATCTGTAGATGTGATCTAAAAAATTAATTTACCTAACATTACTTGTAAATTTGTGTATGCGAGTTGATTTTTAAGTTTGGACTTCAAGTGATTAGAACAAACTCAACAAAAAAATTCAAATGGGCTAAAGCCTAAACCAAGTAGAACTCGTCAAGCCAAACCGGTCATTTACTTCAGCTTATCATCGATTTTGCCAGCAAATCGAATCGAATCAGATCGTATTTAAGATTGATTGTGAGAGGCATTCCTTACTTGATAGAGTTGATTTTTCAATCGAGAATGTATTAAAGATAGAATTTAGTAATTAATCCTACCTTTAATGTTTTTAACTTTTCCACACCACGAGCAGGCAGTTGTAGTCAGCTGCTCATGGATGTAGAGCTGTGCATGAGAGTATTTGAGAACCCTACCCATTTAATGAAGGTATTTTTGTCTTTATTGAAAAAAGCTCACGTGTCATCTTCCAGATTTTTTTAGGATTATTTTTTGATTCACATCAAGCATAATCAAACTTAAAAAAAAAAAAAAAAAAAAAAAAAAAAAAAAATCTCTTGCTAAACTTATGGATGCTTAGATTCAAGCCAGTCATTAAAGATGAATTTTTCATGTCATTAGCACGGAAGAGGATCCCTCTCCAGATCCACTTTGTAGGGATCCTCACATCCTAGCCGTTTATTGTACATCATGTGGTCAGTTTTCGTTAAGTACTATTTGTGTTTAATTTTAAATAAAAAGTCAAATAATTTATGACCGCACAATGCACGATGAATGATTAAAAAGTGAGGATCCTTATAATCCCCATAATTTGAATCCAGATGAGATCGAAATCCATTAGTCACAAGTTGCCATCAAATATCATCAAGGCACCGTCAATACACACACATGCTTTATTTTACTTTGTTTTTTGGCCTAGTGTTGGAACCCTCAACACACCCACTTTGGCAATAAACAATAACAACCTACAGTTGTTAATCTTTGAATTTATTTTGTAATCTTTGAATTTGTTTTGTAAGTTCGGAGTAATGCTAGGGAAACCATCTGTTTAAACAGTATTTTGTAAACCATATAAAGTTGTTGTTGATGATTAAATGATCACTTAAATATTGATTAACGTGATTATTACCAATTGGTGTAACACACCTCGACCAGAATCAAAGCGTGTTGGCCGTCACGTGAAGGTAAAGTAACCAAAAGTGCAAGTGATGAAAGAAAAATGTGAATAAATTAAAATCGAAATTAGAACTAAATTAACTATTAAGGTGAGTGTGCAGTAGTGGTTACAACCCAAAAAATATTCAGAGCATAGATAACATAAAGGTAAAGCAGTCAAACGAGAGAAGTACTTATTACACAAATAGAGATAGGTTCCTACGTTAAAATGAAGATATGTCAGAAACTCCGGGTGATCCTCGAGTGCCACAGAGTAGGTTAACTATTTAGGACTTGGAAGGGTGAAAAACAAAAGGGTGAGTGGGCACAAAAATAAAGATTTATAAAATCCATTTGTTTTCTTAACATATTAACCCCTCGCTGTAAAACAAGTATAGTTTCCCAAAAATCATACTAAGTATGAAATCAAATGCATGCTGATAATAAATCCTGAAATATGCCACAATAAAATATCTCAATGACAATATGAATAAAATCATGCATGTGCTTAACAATCTATATTAGCACGCAAGTCTGAGTCACCTTATGTGACCTGTACGACTGCACCTATGGCTCATCAATCTATACTAACACACGAGTCGGAGTCACCTAATGCGACTTGTACGACAAGACTAGGTGTAATAATATACACTCTAGTGCTACGATCACGTGAAGACTAGCGCTATGCGCGTCACCTACGAGTCAGAGTCCTAATGCGACCTGTACGACAAGACTAGCACCTACTTGGATCCAAGGCAAGCGTGGGGTGCGAGGTGAACATCATGTGAAGGACTGGCCTTGGTCTAGGGCGAGCACTAACATCGGTGCAGCAATGATGAGCGAACTATATGAATATGAGTATGCCATACAATTCAATCATTCCAAACAACACAATAAACTCACCTAAACTTACTTGCACATCCTGTAGAACGACTTGGCATTTCACAATAGCATAATATTTATGAGTAGGTAAAATGCATATGAATATGCCATGATCAAATATAAATCTCAACCACCATGGCATTATTTTAAAAGTAAGTAAAACGTGGCATAACATGCATAAATCAACTTAAAAGTATTTGTCGAAACTACACAATATATATATATATATATGAAAACAAAATGCCCACTCACTAGTATGTCATAGGATCGTAGCCCCTTAGTCTCGTTTGTCCTCGTATAACCTTGGGGTAAGTCTCCCCTATATGTGAAACAACTAAATTAAATTAGTTAATAAGGACATACTCTAAAAACTAGGAATAACTCCCCTTAATTTTCTCAAATGGAAAGTTTGAATATACGAAAATGTTCTACTCGAAGTCACAAACCTATACGTGTCAACCACTCGTCGGTCGGAGGCCAGACGTGCTCTCATGCACAGTCCAAGCCATGGCCATACGAGCGGCCAAGCGCATACAGAGATTGACAGATGCCTTAACGGCTGTTAAGAATATTCTGTTAAAGTGACGGAATATTCAGTTAAATGTTAACGCCATTACCTGACGTCGTTAGGATATTCTGTCGCCTTCTCCAGTGGTCCTCGCTGATCACCCCGTTGGCCGCCATCTGGTTTCGCCAGAAACTGGAAAAACTCATATGTTTTCTGGAAAATTTTCAAACCTTTATAACTTCTTCATTTCTCAACCATTTTTCATGAAATTTATATGGATTCGAAGCTTATGAAGAGTAGAACAAAGTTATACCTTCCAAAAGTCCAAAAGTGGATGGAAAATGGCCTAAAAATGGCTCGAAAGTCTCGGACAAAAGCTCAACTCCTTAAACGTGCTTGTTTTGACATCAACGCTTCTCCAAAGCTAGTCTAATGGCCATGGGGAGTTGAGTAAAAGCTTCCCCACGTCCTAAAACCTTGTAACTCGGCTGGGATTATGATGATGCCAACTTAATCGAGTCAGAACTTCCGAGTCACTCTACGTTGACCACTCAAAACTCAACCACAAAAGAATCAGTTGGTATGGTTGTGATCATAAGGACAAGAGGATCACGATGGTGGTATTTTGAGTCTCGATCTGTGAATGTTTGATGTCATTCTTGAGTGTTGCAACAGAAAGAGAGCTCAGGTTAGCGAAAGAGAAGGAAGAAGAAGAGAAAGAGAGTGAAGGTGGAATCTGATTGGCTAAGAGGAAGAAAATCTGATCGGTTGCAATAATGAGGGAAACAAAATAATTGGTGGTGAGGTGCAAGGCACGGGTCACCCTTTTTAAGAAGAAAACAGATAAGGTTTGTACATATGAAATCACAAGAAATCTACCGCCTTATCAAAAACAGTGTTTTCGACACTGAATAATTTAATGCACACTTGTAATGATGAGTACAGTTTAATCACGATAGCGAGAAAAATAATTAAAAAAAAACGAATAAATGTGTCCACGTCACAGGCCAACAAGGGCATATATGTCAATTCACAAATTTGGAGAGAAATTACATAGAAAATTAGGAACGAGTCATCACATGGTGTGTCTGACACACCACATAATTTGTAGATGTGATCTAAAAAATTAATTTACCTAACATTACTTGTAAATTCGTGTATGAGAGTTCATTTTTAAGTTTGGACTTCAAGTGATTAGAACAAACTCAACAAAAAAATTCAAATGGGCTAAAGCCTAAACAAAGTAGAACTCGTCAAGCCAAACCGGTCATTTACTTCAGCTCAGTATCAATTTTGCCAGCAAACCGAATCGAATCAGATTGTACCTACCCAACAGTCCAGCCCAAGTACAACTTCCTTGACTATTTTTTTCCTTTTTGAGTATATAAGTGGAGCTTCAATCACCCCAAAAAAATCAAATGGACTGGAACTATCTCAGTCTTAATAAGGGAATAGGATTATCTCTGCTTCTAATCGCTTCTTTTTTTCATCTCCTTCTATTTAAACGGTTACGATTAGCCATCATTTTTCTTGTGTAAAGAAAAAGACAAAAGAAAGTGCGAGAAAAAACGAGAGAAAAGACTTATAACAGAAGGGGAGGGAATCGTACTTCTGAGTAGACAAAGCGAAGCCTTGGTGGCTCCAATGACATCACCCATGAAAAATAGAGCCAAACCCAGTAGGCCACAAGATTTTTTGGGCCTAACCATTTTAGCGTCCCCCCTCAACATTTTCACTTCGTGTTTTTGCACCACTAGCTTCCTGCCTCCCCTCTCTCTCTCTCTCTCTCCAGTCGTTTGCCGGCTAACGCTGCGTCTTCCCCAAATTCGGAAGTCCTGGAAAGTCAAAGCAGACAACAATCCCACCTCAGAGCTGAGTGACCGTCGACTGTTTCCAGTCAAATGTCGTCGTTTTTGCACTTCCCTGCCGTTTCTACGCTCCCCTCTTCTCTTCCCGGAGCTTTCTTCCCCGCCCGGCCCAAACCCACCTCGCTTCTCCACCGCCGGTCCTCTCTCTCCCACTCTCTATCTCTAGAATTCGATTGTATAAACTGTGATTAATATTTGCTCTATGTTCAGCGTTAAATGCAGATATGCAGAGATGAATGTAAAAACGGATTTCAATTCCACCACAATAGACGTTGTGGCCGATGTTAAACCTGAACGGGTAAGCCTAAGACATTGCTTTTTAATTTTCAATCCCTCAGTTTTAATTTCATGTTGTGATATGTATTTGCGGGCGCAGCCACATTGGTTAGAGCGGATATGCTCCCGTTATACACTCGAGTTCAAATTCCCTTCCAGCAGTTTATATTAGTTTAAAGTAGAATATCGCTTAAATAAAAATAAATTAGGTTGCAATTATTTAGAAATTAAGAGAGTAGATGATGTGATATATTCTTGTCTTAGTAGGTTGTTGTATTAGGAGGCACCGGTTTTGTTGGTTCTGCTATATGCAAGGCTGCGGTATCCAGAGGAATAGAGGTCGTTGGCGTGAGCAGGTGCTGAAAATTGCTCTTTTTTTAAACTTTTTTTATATTTTTACTTGGCCTGCACCTTTTCATTTCTGAGTTGATTTTTTGTGTCTGAATTGTTTGCTTGGTTTCGCAGGTCAGGGCGTCCCACTTACTCCGGTGCGTGGATAGATCAGGTTAACTGGGTGCCAGGTATGTCACGTTCTTTAAATTTTTGTACAGCTTATTGCCATGTAATGCTGTCAGTCAAGTGTTCTGCTTTCAAACTTCATTTTGCTGCTGTAGAAATGTGAAAATCGGGTTTGCCTTTTGTGATTAGGATATCCGAAGGGGAAAAAACAATTATATGATTGGAAGTATTGCAATATGGGGGTTTTTGTTTTAGTCTTTGGTCTTTCATTAAATTTTGTGCTTAGAACCATTGTGTTCCTAGAACATTGCTTTTACTGATTTTGCATTCAGTGACTAAGATTCTATCAGCTGTGATTTGAAAGTTATTATTAGAAACTGCAATTAAACAAAAAAATGTGCAAAATCCATTTTTAATATTAACTCATCGGTAAACTGGGATGAAGTAATCTATCTGCAGTTTGGTAGTATTGGTAATATATCTGCAGTTTCAATGGATGCATATATTGAAGTAAGTTTTGTTTTGCAGGAGATGTTTTCTATGTAAACTGGGATGAAATACTTATTGGGGCCACCGCTGTGGTTTCAACCATTGGTGGTTTTGGCAGCGAGGAACAGATGCAGAGGATTAATGGGGAGGCAAATGTTGTTGCTGTGAATGCTGCGAAGGATTACGGTAGCAATGTCAATTATCATATTGCAGTAAATTAGTCCTTTGCTTTCCTTTCATATTTTTATTATTTGATTCACTCGTCTTTGTAATGAAGCTTCTATCTCACCCCTCCCTCCCTTTTCTCTTTTGTTCATTCCATCTCATTACTACCCTTTGGTATCACTTCTCCATGACAAGGCACTGTATCTATCAGTTGCATTAATATTTCTTCAGTTTTTGTTAGAATTGAGGACTTTGAGTTTTTGTTTGTAAGTCAAAATAGAGAGGATGACATAGGGCTCTCAAAAATTGAAGAGAAATTTGTAAGATACCTTGCCTACGGCCCTTGTATTCCCATGAGAGCTAGCACTCAATAGGAATGTCTAAAGGAAGCTTAGGAATTCTTCTTATCAATTTCTGTGAAAGCAGGATTATTTGAATCAGGGAGACTGTCAAAGTTTGAGGTCTGACTCTGGTCAAGCCGGAGGTCAAAGTATATGTTGGGAAATCCTCAAATGCACAGCACTATGCAACCTAATACACACTGAATAAATCAAATCATTTGTGTTAACCCCATATTGGGTTCCAGGCTCCATGATATGAATGGTTTAGGTTCCCCAAGGTTATGCATGCAAAAGATCGAAAAAATAAAAATTCAATTAGCCATGTAACACTAATCAAATAATCAGATGAAACTATATTTTTTGGTAAAAGCACTGAAGTGATCATGATGATAATCAAATGGCTAATCGATCTTCAATTTTGTTGATTTTTACATGGATGGTTGAAATGAAAACTTACATGAACCATCATATTGCCGGGTGGACCCAAACGAGTAGTTTTTCTACAAGTTACATATTGGTGCGTTTGAAAATTTCTCGTTAGATGTAAATGTATCAATATATTCCTGACTAGAACAATGATGTTAATTTCTCATTATGTATATCATGGTCGCTTTATGCTACTCTTTCTTCAATTGTACGCAGAGGACGGCTGAGATATATAGCTTTCATTTTCTTGTTCTTTTCCTTTGGCAGGAGTTCCCAAGTTTATCTTGATCTCAGTGCATGATTACAATCTACCTCCATTTTTGCTTTCATCTGGGTACTTCACAGGAAAGAGAAAAGCTGAATCAGAGGTTCTCTCCAAATATCCCAATTCTGGTAATACCTAACTCTCGTCTTTCCTTTTCATTTTTCAGAAATTTTAGGAGACTAAATGTGAGGACTGTCTAGAATTGGCTATTTATTATCTTTACTAAAGAAGCGAGGGAGATGAGTGATTTAAATAATTGGAATGCATTATTATTTTGAAGCCATTCGGCCCATTCGTTTAGGATGTTTAGGAATTCTCAGGTATATTGGATCAACTGGCAAAATGAGGGAGTAGTTTTTTTAATTTAATACTCACTAATTTTCTGGCAAACCTAATTAAACATACTTTTCTGGATTTGATCACTTCTATTTCATTGACTCCCATTTTATTGGCTGAAGTAAGATATATAATTCCAACTTTGTCACGTCCCCTCATATTTATGTGTGTCCTGTATTTCTTTCCCAACATTTCTTTGTAATTCCAACTTCCGCAGGTATTGTGCTTAGACCTGGTTTCATATACGGGAAACGGAGGGTGGATGGTTTTGAGATTCCTTTGGATTTGATAGGTGAACCATTGGAAAGATTTATCAATGCTACCGAAAACTTTACCAAACCGTTGAGTTCTCTTCCAGCATCTGATCTGCTCTTGGCTCCACCTGTTAGTGTCGATGATGTTGCACTTGCCGCAATCAATGGAATCAGAGATGATGATTTCTTCGGCATTTTTACCATTGCACAAATTAAGGAGGCTGCGGAGAAGGTGAGGGTGTAAGAATATATTTTGGTATAGGAAATTAACAGGTGACAGTAACGCAAACAGGTCCGAGTATAAATAACACCTGGTTCGGAAACCCCTTCTTGGTGGAGGATAAATTACGTTTTGCTATTTTGTAAAGACGAACAAGTTTTTTGTATGACTATCTGAATCAAATTTCATCTGAACATCGTTAGCAATTCGATTTCCTTGAAACCCATTATAATTCAAACGCTATAAATAAAAGTGAGTGTAGGGAGAAAATGAATGAGCGGAAATTATTTTCTTTTCGAACAAACCAGGAGAGCGGGAGATGAGACGAAGAAAAGTAGCACTCTGTTTTTCAACTTAGCACCATAGGCCAGAAACACAAACGGAAAATCTCTCTCTGACCAAGATGAAAAGATTAAAACCCCCACTGCCGTTGACCTTCAATAAAAGTCAACCAAGTCAACCTCCACCATCTCTTTTACCAAACCTCAAGAACGAACAGCTTAGCAACGGCTACATAATCTTCTTGTGCAAGCAAAAGCTTTACAAAGAAGCCATTGAAGCATTTGAGTTTTTACAAACGATCACCAACTTCCCAATATATCCCAGAACACAAATTTGGTTTCTGCTTGCTCATCTCTGAGGTCTCTCGAACGTAGCAGGAAAATCCATGGCCATATTTTGGCTTCCAATTACCACCCGGACATTATTTTCCAGAATCATGTTCTTAACATGCGTGGAAAATGTGGGTCGTTCGCGGATGCGCGTAAGGTTTTCGATGCAATGTCTGAGAGAAATGTGGTTTCTTGGACTTCACTGATTTCTGGGTACTCTCAGAATAGTCAAGAGGATAAAGCCATTGAATTGTACTTCCAAATGCTGAGATCGGGTTGTATGCCTGATCATTTCACCTTTGGAAGCGTCGTAAAAGCCTGTTCGGGTCTGGGGAATGAATTGTTGGGGAGACAGCTGCATGCCCATGTTATAAAATCAGAGACTGGTTCTCACCCTATTGCACAGAATGCCTTTACTTCAATGCACACAAAGTTTGGTCTAATTGCGGACGCCTTTGATGTATTTTCTCGTGTTCTGACTAAGGACTTGATTTCTTGGGGTTCGATGATTGCAGGGTTTTCTCAGCTTGGTTTTGACAAAGAAGCTTTGGATCATTTTAAAGAAATGCTCCGTCAGGGAGCTTACCAGCCGAATGAGTTTATATTTGGGAGTGCTTTCAGTGCGTGTGGCCGCCTTCTTAACCCAGAATTTGGAAAGCAAATACATGGGATGCGCATAAAATTTGGTTTAGGGAGAGACATTTTTGCCGGATGCTCACTCTGTGACATGTATGCAAAATGCGGGCGTTTAAAATCTGCAAGAACAGTGTTTTATCGGATAGACAGGCCGGATTTAGTGTCATGGAATGCAATTATTTCAGGGTTCTCGAATGCTGGAGATTCTAATGAAGCATTATCATTCTTTTCTCAGATTTGGCATAAGGGACTGATCCCCGATGAAGTTAGTGATCTCCCAATACTTGCTGCTTGCACAAGCCCTTCAATGCTCTATCAGGGTATGCAGATCCACTCCTACATTATCAAAGGGGCTTTTGATTCTATCGTTATTGTGTCCAACACTTTGCTAACCATGTTGCAAAGTGTTCAAATCTCTATGATGCATTTCTTTTGTTTGAAGATATAAGAAATCACGCTGATTCAGTTTCTTGGAATGCTATTATTACCCGCGTGCATGCAGCACAACCAGGCCAGGGAGGTTTTCAAATTACTAAATTTAATGCGTATTTCTGAAACTAAGCCTGATCATATTACTTCGGGTAATGTAATTGGAGCTTGTGCAAATATAGCATCTCTAGAGGTTGCGAATCAGATTCATTGCTTTACTGTAAAAAGTGGGATTGTGCTTGATGTTACTGTCAGCCATGGATTAATTGACATGCATACAAAATGTGGATCAATTGGAAGTGCGCAAAAGCTCTTCGGCTAGATGGAGGATACAGATGTTGTCTCGTGGAGTAGTTTAATCATGTGTTACGCTCAGTTTGGATATGGAGAGGAAGCTCTTGACCTTTTCGAAAGAATGAAGGAATTGGGCATAAAACCCAATGAAGTAACACTGGTAGGTGTCCTTACTGCTTGCAGTCATATTGGACTGGTAGAGGAAGCGTGGAAAGTATATAAAACCATGGAATCCGAGCATGGGATTGTACTGACAATAGAGCATTGTTCTTGTATGGTTGACTTACTTGCTCGTTCCGGATGCTTACATGAAGCAGAGGCATTTTATCAAGCAAATGGCATTTGAACCGGACGTTCTGGTATGGATGACTCTACTCGCTGCCTGCAGAACCCGTGGGAACGTTGAGATTGGAAAACGGGCAGCAGAGAATATACTAAAATTAGATCCTACCCATTCTGCTGCTCTTGTGTTGCTTTGCAACATCCATGCTTCTTCTGGCAGTTGGGATGATGTTGCCAGGTTAAGGAACTTGATGAGAGAAAGGGATGTCAGGAAAGTTCCGGGGCAGAGTTGGATTGAGGTTAAGGATAGGACCCATGTATTTTTTGTTGAAGATTGCCTGCATCCTGAGAGAGGTAAAATATATGCAATGCTAGAGGAGTTGTGGTTGCAGATGCTGGATGATGGTTATGAACCACTTCAGGCATAGGCTTCTAGTAACAATGTTGAATTATAGTTTCCGGAACAAGAGGAAAGCGATACCAGGATCATCTAAAAGTTCTATTCTAAACAAGATTGCATGAGTAAGTTATGATCTAAGCTCCCATTTCGATCAGAAGGTAGGGAGGCACAGTCCCCACCTAAGGGAGTGGTTGCGTCCAGTGTGTCCTCAGAACCTGAGGAAATCCTTAGACCCTTAACAATGATTGGAGCAGCTGGAGAACAAGGTAGCAGTCAGACCTGCAGCACCAGGTAGTACACAGCGGCTCTCTTCAATCGTACGTCAGACTTGAAGTCTGCTGTCAAGAAGAAATCTTTTCACGTTCCAAAGTTTTGAGGCTTAAAACTATGAACTGTAAAAAGATACTCGATGACAGGACGGGCATCGAACTCCCACAGGTAAAGTTATCATTGGAGCGAGAAGTCCGCTTAAGGCTTCAATTTTTTTGCCCTGTTGTATCGACTATCTCACTTGTGTTAGTTCTTCTACAACTGTGTAATGGGTGTAATAGGCTACTAGCGACCAAAGGACAAGCTACCTTCAATGGAGGATGTTTCGTTGTCGAATTCTAGACCTGCCAGCATACATTTGACTGCAAAAAATCAAACTAGCTTGGACTTGGGACGCAGTTATGGACTTCTGAAGCTAACTTGGACCGTTCAGATGGATGCAAGTAAGAAAAACGAAAATATTAAGACGACGAAACAACATTTTCCCTCACATCCACAACATTCAAACTGAAATTACGAACAGCTTATTGATGGTTAAGCAGATAAAGGAGCTTTGAGTTGTTTCATAACTTGAATAAAATAGATGTTACTTTGTTTTCGACTTCAATTTGTAAATATAATTCTTGTACATTCGATCTGTACAGCATCCCAAACTCTTCAGTTTGTAAATATAACTCATCGATAACAAATGGTTGCTTTGAGGACTTCCAAGTCAAAATTGCAAAATCTGGTTGCCGATATGACAATTGCTTTACTCCTTCTCATCTTTCGGTTGGGTTGATATCGATTCTCTTCCGGGTCGGTGTTTTTTCCACTTCTGTTTGCGCAAGGCCATGATCCAAGACGGAACTTCACAACCTGATGTTGACATCACATTAGCTATATTCCGTAGATATGGAATATCTGCCTCTGTGTAGAAAGTAATAGCTTCTCCGCTCCTCCCTGCTCGTCCACACCGACCTTCACAAAAAAAATTACAAACTTAGATTCAGTGAGCTCGTGAAATCATCCCCAAAAACCAATTCAAATGGTTATAGCAATAACGCGAAGAAACTTGTCTCGGGAAAAAGTGATACAATCAATGACTACGTAAATCACATACACCGTAAAACAATTTTCCACAGGCATCAAACGAGCAATTGAAAGCCCTAAACAGAATCATTAGGAACGATAAAAGACAGTTGCAAAAGATGCGCAACAAATATTCATGCATAAATTTGCAGAGTTCAAGATCTGTTTAACAACAAAAGTAGTTCAATTTGACAAAAATAAGTCTTATGAAACAAACCCAAAAACCAGTCATATTTGTTCGATAGTCTTACAAATTAATCACGGATTAAAGTTTCTATTAATACATTCCCATAAAACATATACGATATTTCTTCTATAGAATTCTTTTTTGAAAGAAACTACTAACCATTATATCTTTTGTTTAACATATCCCATATTTCATGTACATAGGTTACAATCATAGGGACAAGGAGAGGCATACCGATCCTGTGAATGTACGCAGCGGCAGAATCTGGAAAATCATAATTAATTACACAGTTGACACCTTTGAAATCCATACCCCGAGCAATAACATCAGTGGCAATTAAAACCCATGTTTTTCCAGCTCTGAAGTCATCTACTGCATTTTCTCGCTGCATTCCAATTTATAATTAGTACAAGGGAGATTGAAATTACTGTTCAAGTACATAGAAATAATAATGCATATAACATGGGGAATCGAGCATGATAGTAGTAGTGGAATCTAATGTTAAATGAAGTGTGCCCAAGTATTAATTATGGAATTCCAATCCACTGTAAAATGAAAATGTTAGCAAGAAAATGTCAAAATTCAAGTTCGTTCTTATTTCCATGCAAACCTCCTCAGAACACACAGATATCCAGACCCAGCCTTTTTCATGATACCATGAAAACAAGTGCATAATCAAGTTTTAACATCAGTTAAATGTTTCCTTTATGTCGAGTGGAATGGTAGAGCGCCGACATAAGTAGACTATGTAAGGCTTAAGGTTGATCATCTGATAACAATTGGGAACAAATTACCTGTGTTTGTGACAGATCAGAATGTATAGCACCAACTCTTACATTCTCAAACAACAGTTCTCCGCAGAGTTCCTTAGCTCGCTCCTTGCTTTGTAAAAATATCAGCACTGGTGGATTCAGACTCTACTAACAAGATAAAACCATAACAAGAAATTGGTCAACACATCAAACCGATCCAGCTGAAAGTCGGGAAATGTTTAACTAACAAAACATAAATGCC